TGATTAAATAATAAAAAGCCGGTAAGACCACCGGCTGCGAACTCCATTACTGTTTCCTCGATGGATTTTTACGCGACAGTAATCAATCATTACATTTTTTCTTTATTAAAGCGAGAGAATTAACGATTAACGAAGATCTTTATCATACATGTACTCGTATGTAAAAGGCGAGCCTCTGATGGCTATTACAACTATCAACCGGTTACTTGCAAACAGTTGCCGCCACCGGCCGCGATGGACCGATAACACAGTAATTGCGCGATTATCGTTAATTTCAATTATCTTATAAGATTACGTTGTTTTAGGTTTGGATGTTTTTGTATCTATGTGTGCTTTTGTTATGTCGCTGTATATATGATATTAGCAATTTCTTAGAGACATTCGCTTATTTAAGCCCTTTTTAAAGGAGTAAAACATGCCGCAATGGTATCAGGCGTGACACTGCAGTTTCAATACTGCCACCGGGTAATTTATATTGCAGAGGTTGTGTTGGACAGCTGGCATTCTTGAGGTGTTGCATATTCTGGTGTTGTTCTAATTAGTAACAAAACTAGCCGGACATCTCCGATTATATACTCGTGAGTAAAACCTTATTTATCTCATAGATATGGATCCTGCTTGTAAAAGTTTTTTGTTATGGTATTAGCTATGACTCAACACTTACATAGTGGGTTAAGTCGTATCTGTTTATTCTTCCACTTCACTGGTATGTAGATATATACCTACATGTTTCAAATAAGGGTGTCTCTCCCTTTAACAATAGGAACGACCACAGCACTAATCACTCATAAGAGCGTTCATAGCCGAGTGCATTTAGGCCGACAACTTAACACAATAGAGGCGCGCAGTTAAACGGATTAGTTGTGCGACTGCAACTGCAACCACGACTTGGAACAAAAACCGCGTTGATTGCGGCGTAAGGCCGTTGCCAACTAGTCGGTAAGTGGTATGTTAACTATATTCTACTTTTTACTACATTCTACATGATAACAGCACAAAATAATTCTGTGGAGGAGGAGACTTATCTTAAAACTTGAGAGAGAGATTTATCTTAAAACGGCATTGGACATATGTAGATCTGCAGATTCAATTTTAAACTTGTTTTGCTTATAATACTACTACTGTTATATTATTATTAGTAATAGTATTTTTATCTTAGTAGTTAAAAATACTAGTCTGATCCATTTTTGTATTATTCTTTTATTAATAGCTACATATTGACTAAGTAAAGATAATTTACCAAGGCCTAAGTTATTACTAGTGAAGTAAATTGTTAAGGGTCATCTTAAATTAAGGCGTATGGTTCATCTTTATATTTTATCATGAGGTCATCAACATTGATTATTATTTTTAAGATTTCCTTAAGTGTTCCTTTTTTGTGTTCCATTAAGTTGCATTAATTGACAAAATTTTGTTCATCACTATCGTTCTTCCCAGTTTTTAATTTAATTTGAGTTCCAACTGAGACTACAGTAACTAGAGGCCGGGGTCTTTTACCAGTACTTACTTTTGTCCTGTGATTAGAGAGGCTGCTGGGGCAGGGACATCAACTTCTATTTACATAATTTTAGTATTGTATTATTTTTTCATTTCGTGAATTTGTTTCATAATAACATTCAATCGCAATAGCATATAATTTAGTTAAATAGCAAATTATATAATTAAAGTAATTTGATCCATATTATTTTATACTTTTGAGTCTTTAAAATTTGTATTATATGATTTGTATTTAGGCATGAACATTTTTTAAGGCTGTAATAAGTTAACTTCATCAGAGTTTATTATCATTTTCATGAAAAATAAGAGTTTTTTTTGTAAAAAAAAGAATTATGCAAATTTTCTAGGCAATTTATGAGTAATCCTACAATAAAAAAGAAACAAGACACATGGAGGAACGCCTCCTTTTTTAGTGGGTGTAATAATTATTATGAACCACTGCATATGTATGAACTTAATACGAAATTATCACAACTATTTTTGTGGTACTATTGTATTACTATTATATAAGAAAACAAACAGCATTCAAAATAGTTATTAAACTTACTACTTATTCTTAATCTCATAAAATCCTTTCATAAATTTGCTCAGTCGAACTAGTTCACAACTCTTGAGTCCAATTCACAGTATATTTCGCCCAAAGCCTGCATTATTACAGCTAACCAACTATTTATGTGGCACCTTATAAATCGCTTTGTGGATTAAACTTTACAATATAACGTTGACATGAGCTCTGCCAAACACCCCAGGGTTTATTTAGGAGTTAGAGAATAGCCATCTATAATCTGCTCCATGCAGCATTTAGTATGAGCCACGGGGTGATTTCGAAAATTTAAGCATGTTTATTCCGTTTCACGTTGCTTATGTTATGAGGACAAATTCATAACTATTGTGCATTAACATTGGTAATAAAATACTTCTAAAAACACAGTCATCATTGTAGGATGTAGATAGCGTTATTAGATAGATAGCGTTATAAAAAAACAAGCGACCATTTGCTTCAAAGTGCTTTTTGACTTTTGTTGAGTTCGGCTCATCTTGGATCACCTAATGATCATTTACGATCATACGCATATATATCCAAGATTCGTCACCCGGGTAGATATTATGGACATCTTCTGGAATCCAACGTGAACAATTTTTTTTACAGCTAAATGTTTGTGTAATATACTCGTCATACTTATTCCCAGAGACGCCTATATCTCGATCGCCTCTATCTTGCATTATTTGTTCCCGCACAGCATCAATATTTTGAGGTACAATGGTTTGTCACTAGGGTTTTCACGAGTTAAATCCATAGTGATAAAAATACGCAATTTTAAAAATTACGGCAAAAAGGGTAAATAAATGACAGCTACATGAAACAAATTGTATTCTTCAGCGGACTTCAGCCAAAGACTTCTATTTTTAAATCTTATAATTACTTTTTTAATATTGTTTTGTAACTGACCAGTTCCGGCAACATAAATAGTAGCCCTCGTATGTAATACTTTATATTGCATTAAATCATGTTCGTTAATAATAACCCTAATACTAAGCAGAGTTTGTGCTATTGGTTAAGGACCATAGATTAGGATAATTTAAAAAATAAAACAACTGAACGTGATTAGAAAAACAAAAGTCAGTAGGCCTATGAAGAACTGACTTTTTTGGTGACTTAGGTGTTCTTTCTGTCCGTTTCATGTATATTTTTTGAAAAGCCACAGACAGAATTTGTAAAACATAGGATGTACCTATTCTTAGTGCTGGAGTTGCCTATTGATGAAAAAGATAAGAAACTATCAAAACTCGTTGAATAAGAGGTTGTCATTGAATGACGTTTAAAGAAGTCATCTAACTTGCTGAAATTTCTGTACCGACGATACTTAAATGAAATTACAGAGTAAAATTAGTTTTAAAAAATCATGACTTGTAAGGCAATAAGCTCAGATTATGCTGAATGAACTTACACTAATAGAAGAATATAAAATAACGGACTTTGACGGAGCTTTTTAGAGTAGGTACAAGAATAAATATTTTAAATACGCATAGTTTGATGGTGAAGTTGCCTCAAATGGTACTTACTGTGAGAAATATTCTCACAAAAAACAATGTCTTTTGAATTCTTAGATGCTGCAAGAACTTTACAAAGCATTCTACATAAAAATTGGTATATTACTAAGCCTCATAAAATTAAATAACGTCCAAAGCTTTTGTATTAAAACACACAGCTCATCTGTGTATCCCATACGAATAACGTATGCGTAAATATACAATGGATAAATTTAAATAACTGCTGTTGGGGTAAAGTATTAACGGCGGAACACGTCACGGTGGATACACACGTTATGTGGGTACCGTTTTATATCTAGGAGAAACGGGTAAACTTAATCTATAAAATAAAGTGCACCCTACTTAGTGTGTTTGGTAATTAAAGTTTATTTAGTGGTAGAATATACGAAATAGTGTATAAAAAAATATTAAATACCTTTGTGCTTTTAATGATTTTGATTGAAGTAATTTTGCCTTAAAAGATTAAATACTGTGCCAAATTTTAGAAATGTCATAAATCGAATTGTGATAAGTTATTGAAATAAAATCTAAATTCAGTGAATATAAGTATAAAAACGTGTCGCGTAAATAGTTGCCGAGTAAGAATAACTCTAATTCAATTTGACTAAGCTTTTTTTAAAACGAAAGTACTTTATATTTGTAGTATTAGGTAGTGATATATCTCCCAAATGAATTAATTTACTAACTAATTTCTGTAATTTGAAATCCTTTTTAATCTATTTACCAAGTTATTTATTTGTAAGGTAAGATTTGGGTGACTATCCTTTCATTGCGAATACAACCCTAGTTCATTATCCTCAACCTTATTGTCATGTTCATTATATAACTATATACCATTAACAATATTCTCAATTTTCCAGCCATTGCACAATATGTAAACGAGTCCAATCGAATCAATTACGTATACTAACCGGCCTACAACAAAGGCACGACCACAATACGAGTATCTACCAACAACACGGGTCCTTCGAGCCGGACCATTGGACCGTCAATGACCGTCCACTCGACACCGCCCAATAATCCAAATAAACACGGAGCTAGCTGTCACAGGCACGCGACACTTTTATCGCTCTAGTCCACTCCGCTCCGCCACCCCCGGCTATGTTTTATTGATTGAACCATTGCTTGTTGGTCCCCATATTATACTGCAAACTCACTAAAGCCATGGGCTTCTTTTTGTAAGCACAAATCTGGCATAAACGCCTTATTACTCTTTATAATAAATACGACAATTTCGTACTATAATTTACATTGGAAATAACAGCACAAATACTTATTCAAAAAGTCAATGTAAATAAGAAGTTATGAAAAACAAAAACAAGATATTTGTAATCATCAAAATAAAGTGGCCGCCCGCTGCCGGAATACTAACGACATAATTCAAATTCAACAGCAATATCGAGCTAAACAACAACTTGTAATAAAAGCTCAACTCCTTTATTATCCGAGTTTTAGGAGCCCTCACTCTGAGCTGTCACCACGGACACGTATCCGAACTTTATCATTTTTTCCATCTTGAGCGCAGAATTTGATAACCATAGGGCTAGTGACAGCTTTCAACTCCGGATTAACTTCGGATTGCGGGCGAGAGAAAAATTTAATAGCTTTGAGAAGATTGCCTCGTATCCCCTTTTATGAGGTGTTAGTTACTGCGGACCCTACCCCATACCCTACAATTTAAAAACTATATCTAAAATTGAGTAACCATGTTGAATATGAACGACCGCTTAAACATCTATATTGAGTACATTATTTTGTTTAAAATGAATCTTCGGAATTTTATTATTGAAAACCAATCAAATTTACCTATATAATTCAATTACGATATGAGCTTCAGAGTGTATTTTTCGAAAATGATATGAATATTAACGAAAATAGGGAAAGTTGTAATGAGCGAGATGACAATGATATCGTGCAAACGAGTTATTAATAGTGGGCAATGGTGGACCGAATAAAACTTTGTCACAATCGAACGATAATTTAAATTTGCGTCCGTTTTGACGGACGATATGTGATTGGGATCGTTCTGACAGTTGGCAGATGATGTAAATATAGTCTAATACTCGACAAACAATGAACTTGTTAGAAATGTTTGATTAATGTTTTATCTCATTACGATGTTTTAGAAACATACTTCTGTTAGCTGTATTGTTTGAAAACTTGAAATTGGCTCAATTGATTTTAATACCAATGCTTTTCCGTGGGGATAATTTTATAAATACAGTACATCAATATAGTTGCCTGTCTTTCGGGTGTTATATGTTACTGTGTCTAAAAGTCAAATTGCTGTTTCATGTTCCATACACCTGTTTTGGTTTGTAGTAAGTGGTGATAATATTTCACATATTATTGTTTGAATTTTAATAAAAAAAATAGTTGTGACTCGGTTAAGAATGTTCCTTGTGGATGTACAAGGGGACGGTATACGAGGACGTTTTAGTGTATTGTCCATTTCAAGTAAGTGTCGTAAGTAGCTGCTGTGTCGTTGTTGTAATTTATTGAATTCTTAGAATACTTTTTTTAAAGATTCATAACTACTGAAATTAAAATTACTTTCCACTTCTGGTAAACCGAGGTTAAGACGAAACATTTTGTTTTATAGACTAGTATGGGAAAAGAGAAGTGTAAACTAGAAAAAAAAGTTTTAAAATTAAACTTACCTGGTGGACAGCCGCATTCGTTATAGTCCCGGATACTCCTCCTTGACCTCCAGTAGATAGGTGGCCTGCTGAGCACCTCACGCCGGAGACGTTCGACAAGTGGCTGTTGAGGCTCCAACACCGCACTTCGCAGCGCCAGGTGCTGCTCTTCCAACAACGACAATCGGTCCTGCAGCCCCTGCTGCTTGTACAAACTGTACCCGCTTGAGATCAGACTCATGGCACACGCACACCATAACACCGCACAGTACGTCCAAGGATCACCCGGACATCTCTCTTCGCACCTCTCCCATTTCTTTTTTGCCTCATTTCTCTCTTCCTTTTTATTAGCCTGATTTTGTATCTTCTCAGTCTGCTTAACGTCCGGAGGCGACTTGCCTCCCATTTTTAAAATCATGTTTCTTGCTTTTTGTGTCTCATGAATCGCATTTATCTCCGAATATGAATGACACCGACATCTTCTCCGACATATTAAATGTTAACGTTCAACCCGATCTGCGTTAAAATGATACATTGTACTCACAATAGAGCGTCCGGTCCCGAGCTTTTCACGGTAACAGCCTCCTCTATTTTTAGTAAAATTTAATTAAAGACATCAGATATACCAAAGAAAACACAAATAAACGAATACCATAGAAATCGAACCCAAAATAACACAGAAGAAATGTGAAGGTACGTTAGCGGACGTAGTTGTCAACGTTGCGATCGTGTTTGAATTCGTCGTAGTAACGCGGCGCGAGTCGTGGGGACGTGCCGTCGTGTCGGCAGGCCGAACGCCACTGACTTGATCACAGGATCAAGTCGCTGCGGCTCCACGAGACAACGAGGCGTGCGCCGCGATGCGTCCCGACTCCCGACACAGCTTTTGGAAATTCTTATGAATTTTGTGAATATGTTATTAGTTTTACTGCTTATTCTCTTGAAGCTGTAGCGTTATTAACATTTGCCCGTTATTTAGTTAATATTTAAAAGTTGGATAAGATATGAGCAATTCAGAGTGACATTTCTTACCCTTATTTTTGTGTCGTCATGTCCAGATTTTGATCAATAATATGTATTATAATCGTATTAGATTCAGAAACTGATCTAGTGTGTCATGAAGTCATATTTTCTCTAATGCACGGATGACGTAGTGGTTTAAGCGGTCACCTAGCCGCTTCCTGCTGCGCTGTGTGTTGTGGGTTCGATCCGCACATGGGACAACACTTTGTGTTATCCACTAATTGTTGTTCTCAGTCTGAGTGTCTTTTGTGTCCGTTTCGTGTATGTTTTTAAAGTCCCCTGTGACACAGGATTTAGCCCTAAAAAGACAACTCCCGAGTTTTTTTTAAGAACAAAAAAACGAAGGAAATGCATGATAAAAAAAACACTTCATTATTTCACTTCATTCGGCTCAAATCTTGAAAAAAAATGTTTGAGTACTTATTTACAAAGAGAGAAGGAAAACGCACGGAAGCAACATTTAATGAATAGTACTAAATGGACAACTGAACAGAAAGTTGAAGATCATTAACCTTCCCGTGGTTCGGAAACGGTTTCAAGAATCGAATTGGTACTTTTATTGGCAAAGTTCTTTTCATTGCAATCAAGTTACACGGCATGCCAAGGCATGTTTTATAGTTAGGAGTTCGTCTGAAGGTCCGTATTAAGAGGAAGCGTGTAAAAACGTGCAGGGTCGAGCAAGCCGAGGAGCCGCCAAATTGGGCGCCAGCTCGCGCGGAAGAACCGAGGGGGGACGGCAATCCAGTTAGTCGCTCACCCCCGTACTCTGATACCGAATCGGCGAGTAACGCCGGTTTAACTTTAACTTACGCTGTCTCATCTTTTAATACGACACAAGCTGAGCTAACGAATAATTTACATTCCTAGTGCGGAGACAAAGTATTGCGTAATTCAAACTAAACAAATGTAAATAGATGCAAGAGAGCTTTCAATTTGTAGCCGTGATACTGTTTGTTAATGTAATTTTGATAAAACGCTGAGTGCTGTTAATGATGAGGGACGACGGAATTTCATTCTGTAACGACGTTATATTTTAAACATTCCCTTGATTGCTGCCTAATATGAATATTACAACAGTTTATTTCGACAAATTATGCGCTAACAAATTTAGTTTTTTGAAGACTCATTTGCGTGTTGTTGACAAAGTGTAAACTTTGTTACATATTATTTTAAAGAGATATGAATAAAACAACTATGTTAAACTAAACTATTCCATAAAAAAATAAAGCTTAACTTCAAGTAATCTAATCCCAGCGGGTATATTTTAATCTGTATCACGTATCTACGTATATCGACATTAATTAAATTTGTAAAGAATAAAAAAAGTACGGATGTTTTTTAGGCAATAGACGCTATTAATCTCTTTAATAGAGTCATTAAAAATGGAGTGGCGGCCGCAAGCGCCGACCGCCACAAAAAACGCCACGCCACTTGAGCCCTGACATGCATTACGATCCTTTGTAATAAAGCACTCATAATAAAATTAAAAGATAATCCAGATAACGACTCATCCACGCATACCGATCTAATAAGCCACAGCACTACCAATGTCCAACCTTATCAATACTCGAAACATCTAAAACGGTCATTACAATTTTTTTATTAATGTTATTTACGATGCCATTACAATTCGGTTTAAAGTTACGACTCCATAATTGGATTTCATAAGATTTTAATACAATATTTACAGGATTGAAAAATACGTTTTCATATTTAATGACGATATTATTTTTTAATGCGTCGTTCAAAAGCTTAAGTGCGCGATCTCAAGTCGCCTTTGTGAATATTTAAACACGAGAATGTGCAAACTACGTGAGGCTTTCAAAAACTAAAAGGTGATGTCGATCATCTCAAAATGTTAATGTTAAGTTCGTAATTATTAAGTTATGAATACACAAAACTTTTTCATCAGAGGACAGACAAATAGAAACAATTAAAATAACGTTATTGTGTGTGTTGTTGTTTTGCAGAATTGACTTAACGTCGCCCAGCACACGAACCCTTGTGCTCGATGCGGGATGATGCAGCAATCTATCTCCTAGCTCTTGACACTGCAAATTTAATTTAAAACTTTCGTACTTCGTCAAAAAATGTTAAGTTTAAGACCGTCCCACGCTGACAGTTAATATTTTTTTAATTTAATCCCGTATTCTTTTGAATAATTGAGTAGCGCGGCCTCTCCCTCGCCGTTGACTCGACTCCGCACAACATTCTTGGTGAACTAAAAGTTTCTTCAATGATTATATAGGAGGTCCACGAGAGTCAGGGGAAATCTTCGGCGCTGAATTAAAATTATATTTGTTTTTACTTACCTCGGATATTGTCAAAGTTTAACTCTTTCATGATATTAAATAAAAAACTTATAAATAGGTAACAATGCCGTTAAAACATAACTTTGAGGGCTCAGGCTAAGCTGAACGTTTAGGTTAAGTTGGTCGACTTGACTTTGCCAACAACTGATTTTACACAACAACAAAGGGAACAAAGTTTCTGACAATAGCATTTCACTGTTTGTTATCTTGTTTTTTACTATTTGTTATTAGAAACATTACCTTCTTTAGAACTTGTTTGACATTGTTGTAGTTTGTAGCGTATATCAATTTTCCCTTTTTTCTATCTGGATTGGATATGGAGTACCTTAAGTATATATTGTTAATAATAATAATAATCTCACACATCTCACATAAGGCTGAGGCAAATTAGTCTGAGACTGTACTATGGTAACCAGACTGCTAAACATACTTATATATTTCTAAATACATACATATTAATAGGTAAAATCCACCCAGATAAAGAACAAATGATCGTGTTTATTGTACAGTATTTGTTCTGGATGGGAATCAAATCCGCGACTGCCACTATTTAAAAACCGGGCTTGTCAATTCAGGAATGTGGGTGAATTTCTTTTAGTAATTTAAAAAATGTATTTATTTGTAATATTTTTAAATAAAATTCTTCATTTTCCAGACCTCATTCTATCCACATTCAATACCTCCGCAGTTTTACGAATCATAAATAAGTGCTGTACAAATCTATAACAACTTCGTGTAAAATCAAAGATTTATATCCCTGACGTAGATTTTAAAGGCACTAACTCAGAATTTATCGTTTATGGCTGACAGATTGCGAAATCAATTGGAACCAATTAATCAGTGTAGCGGATACTCTCCGAGGGCCTTATAATTGTTTGTAGGAACATTCAATTTTCTCCAACCAATCAGAATGCCGTGACCTTCTTAAATCTATTCCAATTTCGAAGGAATGCGTAAATATTACGAGTGGCGCGAAATGTAAATAGCTTAGTATCGCCGAAACGAAAGTGAAATATCCTCTCGTCCGCGCACCAAATTGAGGCAGCCACGTTATCGGATCGTTTGCTTTATTTACAGTTCGTGGTCGAATTGAGAAAAGTTGTGAAGGGGCGAGGTGGGAGGTGTTCAAAACCATCCACTTCCTCCACTTTATGAATTGTGGAGCGGTCACCTACTTGCGAGTTGGCGACACCAATACCGAGACCCGATCTTACGCGTTCGTAAATATTGAACTTGGAAAAACCACGGCTACGGCCCGCACTGCGGTTCTAGCAATTTATTGTTATTACTTGTTGGTTTTGTGCTGTTGATTAAAACTTTTATTTCCGTTTATTTAAAAAAGAACAAGAAGATATAATATTATTGCTTGATACACTTATGTTATCATTGAAGGCACGATTGATTGCACTAATAGCGTAGTGGTTTAAGCGGTCGCCACGCCGCTTATTACTACACTGAGTATTGTGGGTCCGATCCCCACATGGGACGACACTTTGTGTGATCTACAAATTGTTGTTCTGAGTCTGGGTGTCCTTTGTGTCCGTTTCATGTTTGTTTGTAAAGTTCCCCGCATCATAGGATTTATTTATTCCTAGTGCGGATGTTGTCTTTAAAAAAAAGGCATTTAAAAACTTTAACAGTCTTGTTTGTAGAAAAAGTTGGATATTGTCTACCTGCAATTTTTTTAGGTTTAGGATATTCTACGGGTAAGTTATAAAATCATCGTTGTTGGTTGTTTCATTAACGTAACCATTCATTCAGCATAGTTCACTATATCAATTTAACAGATTCAGAATTGTGTGAAGTAGTAGTAGAAGTCGAAGTATTGACTTCTGGTAGATGTGCTAGACACTATATGTTGGGATATGGAGAGCGGCCCATCGCAGTCACAGATTAGTATGCGAAGAGCTGAACCGAAAGCAATTAGACGTTTCGATTCCATCTGAATTCCAAATGGGTTTCGATTGGGACAAATAGTTTGGACCCTTTAAATTGGTGTCGAGGTGACGCGTGATGTTCTAATGTAATCACTCCGCCCGAGGTTCGCGCCAATTTGCAGCTTACGGGCAAA